TTCTACACTGATTTATTTTTTTGAATGTTAAAGAATATGGGGGACCTGGATGCCTCAGTCAGAAGAGCATGTAACTCTTGATTTTTGGGTCATGACTCTGAGCCCCATGTTGGGTATAGCAATTACTAAAAATAAATAAACTTAAAAAAAGGGGGGGGTATTAGCCTAGGCTAACTGAAAGCAAATAGTTACTCTCTTTATTTGCTTATCTTTCTGCCTTTGGGCCCTCTATGTGACCTTGTTCTTTTTCGTGCTCCTCCTGGAAGGAGGAAGACCTCAATATTTACTGAGAATCTGGTATATGCAGGTGATTAGGTCAATTTACTCATTTAACCTTTAGGCCAACAGGAAACATAGCCATGGAAGGGGCGGGGCATACGATCAGGCATACAGTCAGTCCCCATGAACACATTCCCCCAAAGCTGCACATTTTCAACAAAATTTTGAAGGTTCATTATTGTCATAACTACTGATGAGGATATGAAGAAAATATGTTAGAGAAAAGAAAAACAAAGGGGCAACTCTGAGACCCAAGGAGAAAATTGTCAAGGAGTATAGGCATTTTTTGACGATCAGCTCCCATTCTAAACAATACCCTAAGTAACCCAAGCTAATTCTCAGCTTCAGTCTCCAGCATTTTAAAAGTCAGCTATCCCTCCAATCACAAACCTAAGAGAAATTTATTCATTCTCATTTTATAGAACAGGACACTGAGGCTCCAAAGGATTTAGCCTCTTGTCCATGGTTGCAAACATGCTCAGGTTTTCTGATTATGCATAAACCTTTCCATTCTGCCATCATGTCAAGTCTGTTGGTGACTCAGCACCGCCTTCCCTCTTCTGTGCTCTTCCTTACATCACAAGGACTGGAAGCCCTAGGGTTACATTCCCACGGGTCTCTGCCAGCAGTATTCAGGCATGGATCCCATAAAGAGAGGCATTTCATGGGATTTGGATGAAAGTAACTGGGATTACTGAGCATCTTGTATTTCTGCAACTTCCTGATTCCATGAAAGTAAGCACAAAAATTGAGAGCCAACAATAGCCTTCTCTGACCTTTGTTTGCCTGCCCAGCACCTCCAAAGACTTTGTAAGCACCTAAATCCTTATATTAAGTCCTTCCTGTTTACATGCCTAGAATAGTTTCTATTTTTCTCACCAACCCCCACTAAGCCAACCACACAGCCTTCCACTCTTGCCCCCAAACTGCCATTCTATCCTATACATCTTTCTTCATAAAAGCCACCCATATTTACAAATATTTGTTTGTTCTGCTTCCCTTATAAATTGAATTATTTCAGGGCAGACATCACACTATAATTTTTGTTATCACTATTCCTGCCACATAGTGATGTTTAATTAACAGCAATTGACGGAATGGACCACACTCATACCACTTCCTAATATTTCTTTCCTAAACATCATCTACCTACTTCCAGGATTGGCTCCTTTCAAGAAATGCTGATGCAGAATGGGATCAGAATGGTCCTAAGCACTAAAACTCCAATGTCTTAAAAGATTGAGGGGTAGGGTAGGGGGTACATGAAGAATTCAAGGAAAGCTTTCTCTTGTCTGAAAGCTACCGAAACAACCAGGATACAACATCCTTAGGTCAAAAGAACAGTTTCTGATGCTAATCTTTAAAAAATGACTTTGAGTAGACTGAGGGATCCTAATGGTTTTATCAAATGTCCTCTTTTATATCCATATCCAAGCTCAGAATCTCTACCTGTTTTCCTTTCCAACTATGCATATTTTTACAGATGTTTCATTATTCTACTTGACTTATCTAGTGGCTTATGCTCTTGTGGAAGGATAATAATCAGGGATATCCATTTATGTTTCCATGATTTTATTTCATTTTTTTTCCTTTCACCATTCTGCCCCACCCTACCCCCAAGAGACAGATGATTCCATACACAAAGCCTCAGTGGAGAGATATAACAGGCAGTCAGTCTGCAACTATCATGAACTTGCTTCAGAAAGGTCTGACGCGGGAAGGCTGTTCAGTGGCAGATGGTTTATCATTTTCTTGGCAAAGAGATAAGAGCAGTTTGGCACATCTAGGCAGAAGGGACCACCAACAGCCTCGCAAAGTTTGTGTGTCTAAAGTTGGGAGCTGGGGACTTAAATAGCCATGCTAACCTGGTGCTGACCATCTATGAATGCTTTTGTAGGTAAATAACTTAGTGAATAGAGGAGTTTCCCATCAAGAGTTGGATGGATAGCCTGTTAGATTCTACAACCTCAGCATACCCTGAAACAGAATTAAATTGCATTTCCCTTCACCATAAAATGGTCTCTTGAATCAGAAATAAAATGAATTTACAGCAATAAAAAATTATGTTTCATACACCCTGAATTCGTGGATTGAGATTCACACCTGCTATAAAATCAAGAAGTCAGGCTATTACTTAAAGAAATGCTCTATACTCTAACTCTGAGTCCAAAGCCACCTGATTATGGGCTTTGCCACCATTCCCCCTCAGTAAGAAACAAGGAGTGGCTTAATCCTTGGTTGCCACAGCTTGACTAGCACTGAAAGGAAATAACAATTATGTGTAGCAACAGAGGGTCTCCTTATTTAAATGGAACAAATACAAACAGAAGTCAAAATTCATCATAGAGGAAAAAGAATCAAGTCAAACTTCTGCTATCAGTCAATGAACTGCCACATTAAAAAAAAAAAAAAAAGAAGAAGAAGAAGAGTTTACAGCCTATGCATGAACATAATGGCTATCACTCAAATAGTCCTTGCTATGTGTTGAGTGCTGTTTTACATTATTTAGCACACATAAGCATTACCACATGCCTAAGAAGGTTAATTATTAGTCCCGTTTTACAGATGAAGACACTGAGATACATGGGAGTTATGTCACTTGCCCAAGGTCATATTGATGATAAGCAGCAACTTTGAGATTTGAACACAGTCAGTCTAGTTACAGGATCCAGTTTGACCATCACACAATGCTGCCTTTGCCCACAAAAGTGCAAATATATGAATGAAACCCCAAAGGAAGAGATTATTAGGTCCACTCCCTTTACTTCAAAGAAGGGTAAATAGTAGCAAAGAGGATAAAGAGACTTGCTGAGTGTCAAATAGCTCAGCCAATCACTCATCTTTGTTTTTTATGACAAACAATACTCGTCAATCAAATTAATATTGCTTTTAATGTTTCTCAAATGGCAAACCGAAATTTTAAAACTCAGCTTTTTACAGGCTTCCAGGAATTCCACCTCAACTGTTCTAAAGCTGACATGAGACCTAACTGACAGGATGCCAAGTGGTCTTAGAGGCCAGGTAATGCACCTTGATGGATCATCTCTGGGCGTCTGGGAAGCAAGACTGTGTCAGGAAGCCACTTAACTGAACAGCAGAGAAAGGGAACCCATGGGACTTTAGTGTGGTCATTTAAAAATCAGAGAATTTGATGCTGAGCAATTTTTTCTCTACACTTATTGAAATGCCTAGGATTAGAAACCTTTACTTTGGAAATGTGATCTTGATGCTCCTCCATTTATGCTCCATCAATTTCAAAATAAGATTCCCATGGAAAACACATCACCCCTAAAAGAGCAAAGTGATCATTCTGATTCTCCCTTGCCCTTTAGCGAGGACTAGCATATAACTGGACCATGTCCCTGGAATGACCAGAGTCCCCAGGATGAAGTATTATTAAAGAAAATAAGACCCACTTCCATGTCCTAAAAGAGAATGATCTCACTGTGGGAAGATTTTTAAAAAATCCATCATGGAAGCAAGATGTTGCAATAAGAAATCTATATTATTTAGATCACTGGGCATTCAGTGACCTACCATCTTAATCCTCTTTGCTCTGGTTGTGTTGACACATCCTGTCATTGATAAGCTCAGACCTCCATTATGACAAACTGCTGAAATCTGAATCAGATGATATTAGGAAAAAAATAGTCACGGGTTTCTAACCTTTTCAACCCTTATTTCTATTTTCATCATAAGAATACTTTCACTGCCTGTACAAAAAGAGATGATGATGAATATGAGGAATCTGTCAACTTACAAAGACATGCTAAGAGTGAAAATAGAAGCAAGTAAGTAATTGAACTTGTGTTGAGAAGGCCATTAACAAAGCCCAAAAAACAAAGTAATTTAAGAAAGACCTAACCTGAGCAACTGTGACGCGGTAAGAAGGGAAAACAAAACAAGACAAAAAAAGTAAAACAAAAGAAACCCTCCTACCACCAGAATGTTGAGTTGCTTTAAGTTAAGGGGGGAAAAAAAGTGCTCTGCAAATGGAATGCATCACTACTGTGCTTATTGGCGTCCTCTTTATTAAATTAGAAAAGGAGCAACAGATTTCAAAATTAAAGTGTAGGACCCAGATAGAAGAAACTCGTTTAAGTTTTTAGACACTTACTTGAATTCTAATGTTCTCTTTAATAAATTCATTAAGTTTTAATGTAGATATATTCCAACAAAATAATGGAATCATTAGTATTACCCAGAAAGACACTAAACGGGAGACATGAACTCAAGACCAACCCAGTTGGATTAAATCTCTTTTCATTTTCCCTTGAAGGAGCCTGGCTCTGGGGACCTTACATGACCAGACAACCAGCTACCTTGCAGCCTTCAGACCATCCATGGAATAAATGATAACAGCAAAATGGAGGTAGTGACCAGCTTACCCCTAGCACATCAGGACTACTCTTATTTCTATTGGGTCAACTTCCTCTTCTATTCTGCACCAAGGTTACAACTTTGTGGCCAAATGAATTTATTGTTCATAACAAGTCCCAAAGGCTCAGCAATAAAAAAGGAACTCTCTGACCTCAACTATTGTATTGAAAGGACCCTGCAGCAGACTCTCCTCTGAGAACTAACAAAACATTTTATATGAGCATTAATTTGAAAAACTAAAATAATCCTTTCTTTCAAAAAAAGGAAAGCAACAATAGCAACAACAGAGTACTCCTGGCGCTTACCACTCCGCTACGTGCAAATGTGACCCGGGGACTTACCGCGTTAAAGTTGGGGAAGAGGTTGACTGCCGCCGCTGTGTCCAGAGGAAAAGGAAGAAAGGGTTTGATATCCAGCGAAGGTTGCAGAGGAGGGGCTGGTGGACGGACCAGGGCTGGGAGAGCAGGGCTCTGGCAGGTACCACCTGCAGAGAGGAGAGCAAAGGGAGCAATCAGCGACATTGTGCATGTTAAAAACAAAAACAAAACACCATCAAGGTGTCTTTTGAGCCCAAAAGGCCAGCTTTGTGGGTCACTGCAAAAAACAAGACAGGGAGTGTAGTGGCCTCAGCTAGGAAGTGGTCAATGAGCGGATCTGCCATTAGGTAGAGGGAGCTAGTTAAGCTGCTCCCTTTCCCTCCTCGGATAAAACTGTACAGTTGTGTAAGTAACAGTTTCCATTTCCAACCTTTCATACTCTACCATCTATCCTTCCTTTCTGGCCTAAAGCTCTGGATCGGATCAGCAACAACTCTTTCACTAAGATCCCTTGATTCAAAAGGAAAACCCCTCCCTCCGTTGCACTCTCATCCATCTTTGAAAACGAACTTCTACTCAGAAAATGCATCGAGTCTAAGTGATTCCTTTACAGAACTGCTCTTTTCCACCACATCCAAAACTCTGGCAGCAAGAAGACATGAACTTGGCATGGAAAAGAAACTTAACCACAAATACAGGCAGCCATACGTTACTGCCCTGGCAACTGGAGGATTAAAACAAGTGAACCCAGCTACAAACCAAGCAATCCCTGAACTGTTCAGCACCCTGGCAGCTTTGAGCATTCTATGACTACCTACCTCCTTCCCGGTCGTGAGTAGGTGGAATTTAGAAGGCCACCAATGAGCAAGCAGTGGGAATATTATGCCAACAAAGACACCCTTTGCATACTAGTAGGCAACCAGCTGTTTGCAAGGGAGCACCCCCACTTTTCTCCCCCACTCCCCATTATAGGGCTCCATGCACTCAGAGGCTGGAAGGAAAGAAGCCCATCTCAGTGTTCAGTCTCCCATATTTTGGTAACATTCCAAAACATCAATTTGCTCTCAATTAAAGGCTGTTTGAATCCTAGGAAACCGTTAAAATATGCCAGCATTCTTCTAATCTGAGAGGCAAGCAACAGACTGTAAAAACCTGCTGGTGAAAATCCAAGAAGCATTAGGAAAAAAAACACAGTGGGATTTTTCCTTTCTCATGGAAAAGAACTCTAAGAGGCAGAAGAGAGAAGAGAGGCTCATGTCTGTGCCACTCACTTGCCTGCCATTTTGTTTTCAAAACAAAGTAGAGTGAGACCCATAGGAATAATCTTTAAAAATCTCACAATCACTTCTCTGGTCAACTGGACACACCCATCATCCTGCCCTCAGTCAGTTATCTGAACACAAGGTAAACATTAAAAATGATTCCCCAATGGCAAATCTAACCCTACTAGACCAGTAGATCCCTTAACAAGGTGAGTGACTTAATGCCTACAACAGAAGCTGTCAGCACAAGACGTAATTAACCATACAAAAAACCCATTAACTCTCCTATTTCCAGGTATAAAATCAGCTGGAGCCAAATTAACAAAACCAGTATTTTTCCCACTCTTTTCACTTCCCTTTTAAAATATTCCTTAACAACAGCAAGGCCAACGGCAACAAGTTTGAATCAGCAAACCAATTAAAATAAAAAGTAGTACAAGTCAGAAAATAGAGGACAGATGTTAAAGCAAACATAGATAAAAGCAAAAAAATAACAAGTCTACATTCACCAGAGCACACCATAAATGTACTTTATTGTCCACCTGTTGGTATATTGAGTGTGGGTGTCTAAACTTTCTTAGAGAGAGCATCCATAAAACTTTGGTGATAGTTTTGTCTTGAGTTTAGTATTACTAAAAATTTCTTTTGATAAAAAGTTAAAGAACCAAAATAAATTTTTGGTCAGTATGTCTTTAGAAAACTCAAAGTAAAGTATGTCTGGGTGGAAATCAATGATACGGTTTAACGTGAGCACAATTAATAGTGAGCTTTAATAAATAATTTTATATTATTTTTATCTGTGTCACACATCATGCTTTGCAAAAGATGTTCATATATATCCATTACCTTGAGTCTAAAATATCAGAAATCAAGTAAGGGTTAACATAATATTATGAAGAAAAAATAAGTTGGAAAACTCTTTGGTTGTTAATGTAGCTTCCATTGAAACGTTCCATTCTTGTAATTAAAAGAATGCAATTCAGCAGGAACATATTCTATAATTATTTCATTTATAAGTCCCCCTCTGGTTCAGGATGACCAAAAATGTTAAACAGATAGTTTAAGCTTATTTATTTTATCCAACACAAGAGGCACAAAGTTGACTGACTGCTTGATAAAGTCCCACCTCTCTTTCTCCAAGATATGTATTTCATTTAACTTATACATGCAGCTCAAGACCTTCTCTCAATGTTGCCACTGGGTTTTCCTTAGTAAGGTATGCAAAAATATCAAGAGTCAAAATTTGGGGAACCTAGGCAAACCATTTGAGCCCATCTCTTCTTACCTGTTTGAAGAGATAAATCTAAAAGATGGTTGGAGAGCAGAGCACATATGTGACTACACAATTTTTGGCTACTAGCTATAAAAATTCAGCTGTAGTAGATGCTGCACCGTGCTTCCACCACCCGCTTCCCCAGCTCCTGGGAGAGCTGGGAAGAGCTGGTAGCTGATAACTCACACTGAGAATCTACACATACATTGCCTGGGCCAGAGGGTGCTGCCTCACCCCAGGTCAAAGTCTTCCAGAGTGCAATGACTGATTGATACAGGGGTGTCATGGCTTCTTCTTTATGCCTCAAGGCAGGATGACTCTGAACCTGTATTTGTGCTCTAGACCTCCTCCTAAAATCTAGGATAGACTGAGGCCTCTGTTGTGACTGCCTCACAGTTCGACTTTTCCCTCTGCGCAGTCCTGTCTGCCTCACTCCTCAAAGAAGATGGTCTCTAATAAAGTCTGAGTCCACTTGCAGTTCTTGGACGGCAGGGTATAACTATTATGAGTCTAAGAGAAATGTTGAATTGCTTTATTCTAAAATAGATACTTGCCACAAAATCCATAATGCTGATATTGAGGTATAAAACTGAAGCTCCCTCTTAAAAATTATCCGTGACTACCATTTTTACTTCTAAAATTTGGGTATGCCCTGAAATATTTCATTGCACCAATCTGTACATGCTCAGCGGCAAGAATATTATTTGCAAAGAGCCCAAAATCAAAATAATCAAATGAAACATATTTCATTTGTAAAGCAGATTAAAATATTCTCCTTGAGAAAACAATTATTTCATTTCTTCATTTTTGAACAGAAACTACTGCATTTAGGATACACAGATACGTTTATTATTATTTTCTTTATTATAAAATGACCTTAACAATGATAAACATCAAAATACACAATGAATTTGTAGGCATTACTATATGTTAAAAAGAGTAGCTTTGTTGTTATTGTTTACCAACACTGTCACTTCATTCATTGGAATATCACACTTCTGGAAGTATTGGTATTCTTAATTTGAGGAAAGCATTTTGAAGCCTCCATGAGTGGAGACTGAAAAAAAAATATAAGCTCATACCTTTTATGTTTGAAACCCTGCCTACCTAAGTCTAGTACCACCTCTTTCATAGCCTATGCAGTTTTAACAATTAAATTATTCTGATTTCAGAGCAGTTAATATCTCTCTATATACCAAATTTCTGATATACCATGAAAGTCAGCAAATAAAAACATTCATTGAGTATAGAATGTTAGACACTAAGGTATTGAATAATTCAGGTAAATACAGTAAATAAGATAATCATTAATGCTCACAAACTTTCTCTATCCCTTTTTTACGTTTATTTCTGCTAGGTTATATTTAGAATTTAGAATTGAACTATAGAGCAAACATTAAATATTACCTTGGTGTATTCATAAGACAGCTGTATATTTACAAAAGTACAAACAGGTATTTGAAAAAATACAGGAGTAACTTATTTGTTAATAGAGTATTTGTTAATAAAGATTATGTGACAGAGTAAGATACATTCACTTCAAAAGTTTGCATTTCTGAAAATCAATTAAAATATAAATTTGGAAATGTTCATTTTAATAATTCATACAGGAAAAAAAAAGAATTCTAAGCCAGTTGCCACTTGAAGCCTATCTTATTAGAGATATTATATATACAGTGCCCAGCCCAATGCGTGGCCAATTGGCGCTCACTAAGTGAGGCATGTATTTTTTAATGAACCTAATAAATTGCAAAGGAGCTGTTCAAATTCCTCCAGACACAAATTGGGGCTCTCTGAAAGCAATCAAGATAATTTTAAAAGCATGTTCATATTGTTCACTTTGTTTATTTTCACCCCTGCCTAAACAGAGTCTTCACAAAGATGATACTTTGTAAATCAATATTTTGAAATACTCCTTCAGAGTGGGGCAGTGTTCTTTCTGTAATATAACACTTTTAACCTTGAACTTCTGCACTTGATCCATTCAGGCATTCAGCGTTTATCAAACAGTCGCAGATGCCCTGTCTGACAGCCTGACAGCTTAACCTACTTAATCTTTCATTTCTCCAAATGACAAAACTGAAGTTCAAAATAATCAAGGGTTGCAGCTGTTAAATACTCAAAACCATGTACGCTTTAGAACCGGGAATCATATATATGTATATATGTATAACAAATATATAATTATATATACATGAATAAATATGTAAATATATATAACATATATGATTATTATATAATATATGAAAATATTTTTTAAGTCTACATTTATAAAAGCAGCAGAAATCCTCAATTTCCTGATCAGATAAATAATTTCTATGGTATCTTTATCCTTAACCATCAGTTTTATACACATACACACACACATATGTATATATATAAATTTAACTATATATTTTTATTTATTAATACACATATTAATTTATATATTAAATATATAAATAATTATATTTATACTTATCTACAAGTATAATATATATATTTCAATAGTGAGCTATGATTAAACCAGTAAAGCACTTAGAATATTCATACCTAACAGGAAAACACCAAGAGCATTTTAAGTAGTATCAAGTCCTAAGTAGTTACTTGTGAAGCAACTACTTTGAATTCACATGGAACAGTACTCACATCT